CGCCACCCCCGCCGGCCCCGCCCAAAGAGGCGAATTGATTTACAAATCGCCACCGTGTTTGGATTGGGCTGATAAAGTGGCTGCTGTGCGGGCTGTGCTGTGCCGGCGGCGGGGACTATTAGGGCCGACACATTTGGCGGGATTGCCTGCCCTTGCCCTGCCCTGCCCTGCCCGACTGGGGATGCTCGCGCTGCGTGTGTCGTCATTATTTGGGGACAAAAGGATAGCGCCATTGCCACCAACCACACAACGCACACAACACATACGGCTGCAGTTATTGAACCCAACAAACGTGTTTGGCTTATTTTATTTTTTTGCCCTCGTCCCCACCGCGATAGAAGCCACGCTGCCGCCGCCCTGCCTCGCCTCCTGAACCGCGCGGATGGAGTCATCAAAGACACTCCTGTCAATGCTGCCAACAATGCGAAAACAATGGCCCGGGACCCGGCTCGGCTCGGCTCGGTGCTATGGCGGCGCCAGCTGTAGTGCCAGTTGTTAACCTTTCGATCCCTCGCGCGGCGCGCGCATCGCATCCCCCTCTGCCGAGCGCAACCACAGCGCCAACCAAACGACAACAAACGCCAAATGCAAATTCCGTTTCCACTTGAGCATGCCATTATCCCCAAACTAACGCCGTAGGCCGAATGGGGTGACAGACCCGAGTCGGAGTGGCGTGGCGTGTGGCGTGGCGTAGCTGTAACGCCCCTCAGCCAGCGGGGCCGCCAGGAGGGCACCGCGGCGGGAGGGGGTGGGCGGCGCGCACGGCGCGAGTGGCTTCGGATGGCAGCAATAAATGTAGCGCGTGAGAAAGAAAGCGAAATAACGACTAGAGTGCCAATGAGGGGCATCCGCGCGAAGTGAGTGGGGAAAGAGAGAGAGACAGAGAGGGAGGTGGTGAGAGAGAGAGAGAGCGGGAAAAAGAGAGAGAGAGAGAGAAGGGCCACGGGAGAGAAAGGCATGGCATGGCAGCCGCGCGACAGAGGGGGGAGGGGGAGGTGAGAGGGTGGATGGGACAGACAGACAACGCATTAATGTAAGCAATTCGTTTACCGCCGTCGCAGGCGCACAGCTCGCGCACAGTCGAGGCACACACCCCGCGGAGCGCCGCGCCGCGCCACGCCCGCCGCACCGAGCGCGCAGCGCAGAGCCGCTGCTCCTGCTCCCTGTTTGCCTGAATATGTTTGCCAGCCGATACTGACACCCCGCTGTGAAGACCGTAACATTTCATTTTGAAATTGAAGCCTCCCCGCCTCGCCCTCCGCGGAGCAGCAGCAGCCGAGCAGGGACGTAAAGCACAACGCGACCCTCGGCGCGACAGCGAGTCTACCGGCCCGCTCGGGCCCGGCGCGGCCAGGGCGAGCGAGAGCGAGCGAGCGAGCATAAGTGGTCTAATTATTCGCAGAAAAAAAAAGACGGCCGCGACAACGATCCGCGGCAGAGACGGGTCTGCTGGGGTGTGGGTCGCGAGAAAGGGGTAAGTGCGGCCGAATAAGGGGTTGAAGAGTAGCAGGCAGGCCTGGGTCGGCGGCGG